ATCCTTTGGCCTCTGTTAGCCTCAATCACTGTTTAACCAGCTGTTCCTCTGTCTGCTCTCTGCAGTCTCAGGACCAACTGTCCTTGAGTTTTATTCACAGTTCAGCAGTTTTCCACAATTCTAAACTGAAACCAAGAATCTGTTAAATTTCATGCACCCTGCAGAACTTCATTACTGCTATGGGCTGAAATGTGCACAAGCCACCCTGTCACCCCTAAGCGGTGTGTGGGGGATTAAAAAAAAGCAAGTTGAATAGCTGTGAATTTTAAAAAATGGGTGGGAGATGAATTGTAGTCTTTTGAGCTATGAGATTCAATGATCTATTGTTAAAGAGGGTCAGTAAGCATGCAAAGACATGCAAAAGGGTCTGAACTGCTCCGTGATCTGCTTTAAGCACCGTAACACGTTGCTTTCCTCTGCTTTATTGAATAGTTTGCTTTCTGTAAGAGTACACTTCAGAATGATCACACCATTGTCAGTGGAATGCAAGCTAACTGAAGGTTCTGTTTGTGATTCCACAGTGGTTATTCAGTTCTTATTATAATAGCCAGTTACATTGTACAATTCGTCTGGGAATTCTGAAGCCGCACATTCTACAAATCTCATCAAGGGGTTGTTGACTTGAATATCAACTACTTCGAACCCTAAATGTCAAACAACCAAATTTAGTAATGTTAAGGGAAAATGCCACAGAACTTGTTCTTCTTTACAGTGAAATTTTGTAGATAGACCTTGAGATGAATTTCTAACATTTACTTAATTTTTTCTTATTTGTGCTCACACAAACTCAGAGAACATATAGACCAAAGGAAATTCAACATTTCAGATGACATTAATGTGTTAAGTGCTAAGGTCTTTTGAAGAGACAGTAAGCTTACATAAACCCTTATGTGGTGTTTGGGTCTGTGGGACCCACTTTCAGTGTTTACCAAAAGAAAAAATGATGCGATTTATTAATAGTTTCAACCTCAGATTCCTTGGCCTTTGTTCATTTTCTGTGAAGAACGTATAAAACAACACATTTTCAGTGACTTCACACTGTACGCACCCCACACATTTATATTAGACATGTGGTGTTGGGGTGAACCTGCAGGAAGTAAAAGTGTGGAGGTGCTGTGTCCCGTCACTCTGTTCTCCTCCTACATGGCGTGCTGTTAGTGTGTGTGTTTGTATATGTATGCATGTGTGTGAGGGTGGACAACATGGACAGGCTGCTGACTGGCTACAGCTGCTAAAAGAGAACCCTACGCTGGGCACTTGTGATATTTTAAACATCTGGTATTTTTACATAAATTGTTATGGCCGTATAGATTTAAAAAAAACAATGATGCGGTGGATCCACCAGACCCACTAACAAAAACATGAACACCACACAAGGGTTAATCTTTGTACTGCAGTGCTTTCATGCAAACTCACTTGCCCTTCATGTATAAAGAGCCATGTGTCCTTCTTAGAGGTCCACTCATACCTTGGTGGGTTTCTGTAATAAGGGCACTGATTGGAGCTCAGTCTGCCACTGCTCTCATGCCAGCCCAATGCGCCTCGCAGTTTGGAGAACATGCTGCATTGCGCAGCATTATGAGAGACTCTGTCCATCCACTAGAGCTCTTAGTACATAAGTAGAGGGAGAAAGAGTGTATGTCTGACTGAGTGAGGGAATAAGTGCATAAAACTGCATTGTGGTTGTCATGGAGCTGTGCATTATAACACCAGACACATAATACACGCAGGATAAAAAGATGTGTGTGTGTGTATGCACAGTACTGCATTTACACAGATTTTCAAGGCATATTTGCCCTGTTGGGCAACATATTGCATGTGTGTGGTGCACTGTGTGTTTGTTTACTGAGTATAATGATCTGTCTGCCTGAGTGTTCCTCTGAGTTGCTTCATTTTTTGGCCTCTGTAGCCATGGGTTCTGTCAGGCTGTGGGCTTCTATAGTGATAAAATCACAAGAGTGAAGAGCAGTGACACTACAGAGTGTACTTGCAAGTAGGGGTGCACTGATATGAAAAACGTGGGCCCATGCTGATATACAGTATTTTTAATGTACATATCTGTCGATACCAATACTGATGCCCATGTATAAACATTTATAAAGTGTAGAAATTAGGAATGCATCTACTTGGATTAGCATTACAGAGAAATGCTGCATTTATTTGTAGATGGTTGCATTGAGTAATTCAGTAAAATGAATAAAATGCTGATATTTTAGCTCAGTAGCTAACCATCTCCTATGTATCTGTTTGAAATATTGGTCAAATATAAACATCTGTCTGATGTCAATTGTTTAAGTAAATATCTGCCAATACCAATATGATTCCGATATCATTGTGCATCCCTACTTGCAAGCATTAGGGCCCCTTGAAATCTGTTTTAGAAGATACATTTACTCAGCAATAGAAGTGATACCTCAGCTTGGCTGGAGAAAGGCAAAAAAAGAAGGACTACATGTTCTTGGCCAATACGTGCCACGTGCCTTACTGACATGCAGGAGCTGGACACCGTGCTGTACACAGAAACACGACAGAATCTCTGCAAATAGTAATGTGTGCAAAAATAATAACAGATGCTCCTTTGTTATTTGGATGGTAAAAGGACAAATTACATTAAGCATTATATGTTAAAAAGTTTATTATAATTATAATCTCCCCTGAAATCTGCCAAGTCCATGCATTTTCTTGTTTATATCTGTAAATCATTTTGTCATCGGTTTCATGTCCACGTTCTCTGCATGACAGAAACCATAGAGGTGTATATATTAGTGAAATTAACAGAGCCGTGGGTTTTTTTCTCCTTTGGGGGATGTTGTGAAGTGTGACAGGCACCAGAAGATTCCTTCACCCCCTCCTTGTATTCCAGGAGGTAGTAGCCAAAACCAGAGCACCCTCAGGGGGTCTAGCTTTTAAATACTGGTCAGCCATTTTCTTCTAATAAATCTTAATATCGCAGTTTGCTGAAAAGAGGTGCATGTGACCAATCAAACTCTTGCTACTCAGTTTCCCATGGAAATTTTTCTGGAAATTAAGGTAATTACGGTAAATAATTCATGTTTATGCTTGACATTCATGCATTGTCCAGCACCAAAGAAAATAAGAGCACAAAGCCAACATTGATTGTCTAGAACTCTTTGGAAGAAAGTAAATTTAAATCTCTTGCACAAAATCCATTTACAGTACACAGTGAAGCTGCAACAAAAGACTGAATAAATCTTGACAGAGCATCCTCTTTTTGTTGTCATTCCAATCTCTCTCTCCCTCTCTCTCTCTCTCTCTGTACGTACACACTAAGAACTTTATCTGCCAGAGAACCCATCACTGCTTACGTTATACTCAAGATATTGGACGGCTGTGAGTGTGTGTGTCTGAACGAGTCTGTGTAAGTGTGTGTTTGTCTCTCAGAAAGTCATTAGGGCAGAATCGATAAGAGCCTTTCAAAACATTGCCTTCTCACCAGTGTTCACATTATCTTGCCTGTATGTATGCATTAACTGTATATATCAGCTGTCTGGAAATGGATTCAGTGTATCAGCAGTATTATGTATTATGTAGCCCCCCGTGCTCTTAATGTTTATTTCAGTTTATTTTCCTGAGCTTTCCCCTTGGATGTGTACAGTGATACAAATAGGAGAATGAACAAGTTTGTTGATTAGAGCAGTTAAATCTTTAAATTATTTTCCTTCTAATGTATAAAATACGCATTTGAATGTTAAAAACTAGCCCTCCTAGTATATTACAGGCCAGTTAGTTAGTAGTGGTCTGCACGGGCATGAAGTTGAAGCCTGAACCCACCACAAACCCGCTTGCATGCAGAAACACACATGGATTATTACAGATATGGTTTTACAGAGCATTGTGCACCAGGTGCTTCAGTTGTTCAACAATTAAGTCATGCTGGAATAAATTAGTATTTTACCATTTTATTGTGTATTTTGAAGTATTGTCATATGATATTTTTGCCATAATGCCCGCCTCTGTATGTGATACACTAACAGTATTTTTTATCAGTCTGTTTTTGTGGAATTGCCGATCGTACCTGTCAGAGAACAGTGTGTACATTACTTAACTTAGCCCCGCTGCACTAAATTTCTCTCACTGCTGCTACATGCACAAATGCTTAATATACTTTGAATGATCTCAACAAGGGTAGAGAGAGAAAGAGAGGGAATGTGTGAGTGTGCAAAATTTATGTATTCATATTCTCTCAAATAAAAACAAATCTGCTACATAAAAATCACTCATTAGAACACAAATCTGAGCCCATGCTGTACACGAGAAATCGTTTTGAAACCGGCCCGAACCATGACATTTTGTTGGGCCCTGTCAGACTCGGGTGCCAGACCTGACCATGAATCAGCAAAACAGCAACCTGTTTTTTGGTTTAACTAGAGCTTTTAAATATGTTGCAAGATTTGCAAACACCCAACAGTTCTTTAGCCATTGATAACACAACAATGTGCCAGTTTAAAAAAAAAAAGAAAAAAAATCCATTTTAATTTCTGAGTCTTTCTGACAGCCCTAGTGTGTACATGTGTGTATGTGAAAACAGGGAGACAGTTTGGCAAGGAAAGCTTTGAGAGGTCCTGTACAGGAGAGGCTTTTATGATAAACTGAGTGGATTAAGTCGATCCGGTCTGTTTTAGCTTTTGCTGACCTTAGAGAACAGGAATGTAATTCCTGATTAATTTGAGCTGTTCGCTCTTCAAACAGACGCTTCCTGCTTCCTTCTCTACACGCTCACCCTACGTCATCGATGCTAAGCAGCTGCCAGACTCTCAGCCCCGTTCCCCAAAGCAGCTGGAACCCGCTGTCCTGCTCGTGTGGCCTCCTTTGACGTCAGCAGGAGCTGATGAATAATTATAATAATAATAAAAAAACAACGATGGAATGCTGTGAACCATTTGTCCTTCCTCTCATTCCTGTCTTTTTTTCCTACTCCCTCTCTCTACTTTTTTTCTTAGTTGTGTTGTTCATGCTGGCTGCAGGGAGGAACAAAAATCTCTTTTGACTTAAGAGTGTGATTGCGTGTGTGTGTATGCGTGCAAGGGTTTGTGTGCATACGCATGTTTGTGAGTATCCGTGACTTACTCACTTTAACATGCCAAAGCTGACAGTTTGCGTAAGAGGCAGCTGCTGCATGTGCAGGCCAGCGGTGAGGACAGCTGACCTAGGGGAGGACGACACACACTCCTTCATATCTCTGTCTCTCTCTCTCAGAAGTGAACTCTGTGCTCTGTGAGGGGAAGTCAGAATGTGTACGTCACATTTTGGCCTGCTATGTGTTTTGTCCTCTCAAGAGAATGACTACAGTATCTGCAGGGCTTTTTGCTCACATCTCCCCACACCCTTTCCGGAGCCTGACTGTCATCATATGAATGCCTTTGTGTATTTGTGTGTGTCGGTGTCCATGCACGTGTGAGTGCAGCTCAGCTAAACTCCTGTACTCCTGTTCCCAGTCTTACGCCATACTCCATGGTCCATATGCTCCATCATTCTGGGAATCATTGCCTTTTTTTCTGCTGATATGAGGCCTGTTTTTCCATTACATTTAGACAGAAACTCTTGGAATGGTTAAGCTTAATCTTGGGCTGAGAAAACAGATCATTGGTTAATGTGGAACCACTCTTTGTTGTATGAGTACTGTTTGGATGTCTGCAGATACTTAAAAAGTAGGGATGCATAGTTGTATCAGAATCATATCGGTATAGGGAGATGTAATGTATTCTGGAAGAGCAGGATCTTTAGGTGACACTATGCTAATGTGCAAAAATGTCTGCATTTGTAGCTCTACATAAATAAATGCTATATTTCTCTGCAATGCTAATTCAGGTGGGTTTAGCCCCTAGTTCTACATTTTATAAATCTTTGTGTATCGGCATCAGAAAATATACATGAAAAATATTGGATATAGGCATTGGCCCATAATTCCCATATCGGTGTCTTAATTTTTCTAAAATTACATTTTACAAATCATAGGTCTACAAATAAAATTAAATTCAGATTTACAAGGTCTTAAATTTTAAAGATATGGACAGTTGTTGTTTTACAGGCTTACCTGCTGTTGAGCTAGCCTGCTCAGAGACATGGAGATATCAGTGTTACTTTGAAGAGTGGTTTTATAATTGGTATGTCATCACTGCAGATTTGGTCTTAAATTATATCTAAAGTGGAATAAATAAGAGTTGTTAATGTATTAAGTTATCTTGAAGATGCTTGCAGACACTTTGTTAAATACAGTACACCAGGACAACATTTTCTGCATTCTATACAGTATTTTCAACATGCTCCAGATGCTTTGTAAGTAGGTGTATACATATGTTGGACTGAAACTAATTGAATTCCTTACAATTAAAATGGATAGTGCATAATAAGTTCAACTGATACTGATTTGTTTAATAGGTTTAATTGTTATTGCTGGTAATGTTCCATCATACTGGTTTCAATCTCTTTGGTATATGTGTGTGCACAGTGTGCTTTCATTATGTTTTTTTGTGATGTTTGCACAGATTCTTAAGAGTTTCTTTAGAAGGTGTGTTCACTGGGGCCAACTTCAAAGCTGCCCTTCTCAAATACAGGCAGGCTAGTTTTGTCTGGTTGAACAGCAGTCTTTGATGCGCAAGAAAATCTGGCTTCATGAGACGACACAAAGGCCAAAGATCTGGGGTCATGCACTCCATTTCAACCTTTTTAGAGTAAATGAACAGATCTAAGATAAGCTTTTGCCTTTTATATTTTAATGTGGAGGTTTCCAGATGTTTTTACCTCGTGACCTCAAGCTAAAGCCAAGCAAATTAAATAAGACTTTGTACTGACTTTGCCTAGTTAACCAATTACAGCCAGAGAAATTACTGATCTATGCTTAAACCCAAAACAAATCATTGAGCTACGTTTTCATTTCACTATTAATAATTGTGCATTGACAACTGCTGAGCATGTGATCAGTCTTATAACTGAAATGGGATATTAGCCTTCGTTCTGTGGCGTCCAGGGCAGTCATTCTAAAATGGCAAATGGCGTTTCCCAGGATCAAGGCTGCTGAGCCTCTGCTGCACGTGACTGTGTAATGTGGTGAACTCAGGACCTCCAAGTAATGGTCAGTCCTATTGATTTAGCTGTAAATGATAATGGAACGTGTTACTTACTGCACCTTTATAATGCTACAACGGAAAATCCTTTTGGCAAAATATCTACTCATGAGGTCAGACCTGCATTAGTGACGAAGGCCTCTGGAGGAGCTAAGTAATAAACTTGACGAGTGAGTGTTCTGGAATGTGTGGTTCTAGAATTTTTTACTGTGGTTCTAGAATGTATTAGACAACTATTGTTCCATAATATATGAACTCATTGGGTGTGTCTCAAAACCTAGTGAGCTCTCTACATAGACAGTATTTTACACCACGATATGCACGCTCCCAACAAGAAGCCTTTCCCAATTCTTAGATATCTCAAATATGCTGCCTACTGAGGTACTTCATTTTGGCCAAATATCAAGAGAGCATCGGATGTTTCCTCAGCCGCTGAGGCAATCCCACGATGCAGCGCCGCGCAACTTTTGTTTGGAGATGGCGGGCTTCACCAAGCAGCGACGTCATCTTCAAATGTAAGTTATTCTGATTTTCTGGGGTATTTATCTGTTTTCTAGTCATAAAGGTGCACAAATAGCCTATACTTTCCGCCTTTGACCACAACTATTGTCTATTTTGCTGTTTCATTCAGAGCAAATAAAATTAAAATCGCTATATTAACCGCCAGAGCAGATCCATGTTGGCTAAATGTGATTTTGACGGCTGAGGTAAGTAAACGCCGGTCTCGTGCAGTGGGCGGGAACAAGCGGCAACGTCACTGCTGTCTAACTAGAGCGTCTCATTTATCTATCTTATAAGGGTAGATGACGGTTGGAACGCTGCCTACTTAGACAGCTGCCTATGTAGACAGCGGCTACTTAGAGTTTGTCAAAGGGTCAAATGTGATGTTCTAAACACACCAGTGTGCCAATACTCATCAGGGAATTAAGAGCTTTGTTCAAGGGCACAATAGCATTAACAGTGTATTATTAGCTGGACTAGTTACCACACCTTCATGGTTTTTAGCCAAGTTCCCTGACCACCCTGACCACTGCTCTGCCACCACCCTTTATTCTTTACTTTTTCTATAAAGGAACATGCTAACAGTAAGTGGGCTCTGTTAGTTTGATCTCACTTCTATGATGATTCTAATTTGTCTCAATTAACTTTCATCAGCAGTATTTCTGTGAAGCAGTTGTGTTTTTTCCTTTGAGTAATGGCTTGAAATTTGTCCTGCAAACAGACCTTTTTTCCCAGTTAGAATATAAATGACTGCTCTTAGACTAGTGGCCTCCTGTGCATACAGTGGTTATTTTATAGCTCCGGCTTGCGTTACCATTTGTGTATCATGTGCTTAGTGTGTAGCAAAACCACAGCCTGCAGATACGTTCTCTGTCTCTGATTTTGCTAAATAAATATTTGCTTTTCATACCCCATGGCCTGTAGCTGAGTGCTGCTCTGCACTGTTTAAAATGATGACTAGACATCTGATCAGATGAGCCAGTGGCCCGTCTGTCTGTTTATGATGGTGGAAAACTTTCTGTTTGATGGTAAACACATCTTCCTGTTTTATGCACTGTTTGAGCTGTTTGAAAAGTGGATCTCAGTGTTGGCGTTCAGTGGTGGAAAAATTGAGGGGGCTCTACAGCCACATCACTGCACGCAGGGGCTGTTAGACGGGAGATGGAGGTTCAGCCAAGGACTCTGGTGTTGTTTTTTAAAGTCTGGATCAATATAGACCTGTTGGCTTTAGCCACGTGAAAGATATTCAAGTCTCTACCAAAGCTCAAACAAGTAAATAAATGTAATAACAAAGTTTTGATTGGCAAAACAAATTTGTTGAGTCACTGTTCTTGCTCCTATGAAAGGAAATTAGATCCTTCGTTATGAGGCTGCACCAGCACTAGATATAAAAGGGCAGACAGACCTCCTTAATCAATGGTTTTGACCTTTAAAACACAAGTGCAGAGACAAAAAAATTCCCAAAGGAATGTATTAGAAACATAATAAATCTATGTGAAAGAACTTACAAATGTAATAACGCAGTGTGTGTGAATATGACTGTAGCTGTAATAAAACTCTTGACACTTTGCCCTCAGATCTTGACCTATCAGGCTGAAGCCGTAGATAAAATGGCCTGATACATTAAAGAAATGCAATGTAAATTGGTTTGAGATCGAAGTACCTCGCATGTACTGTTAATACTACACTCTTTATTGACTGGATATGAATGGGATAATTTAGCTAGCTAACAGCAAGCTTAGCAAAAATAGTTCTCTGGGAGGAAAATAGCTCTCACAGCTGTTTTTTCTGCTACGAGAGAGAAGGAAGCTTTGGCGCTCCAAGAGGTCAGAGGTGCAGAAGGTCAGACGTCTGTTAGGTGGAGACAAGGCAAGTCATCCTGCTTGAGGATGTTCCTCCCACTTCCTTTATAATATCCAGTTGCGATCCTGGAATAACTCTACATTGCAAATTTCAGTGTCTTACTGTTTTAACACACCCGTTTTAACCGATTGAAGGATTTAGGAATGAGCTGATGATTTGAGTCAGGTGTGCTAGAGCAGGAAACACTGAAATGTGTCATGCAGGACGATTAGGGCACTGATTCATGCTCATAAGGTGTTGGCCTTTTGCATTGATCTGAGGTCTGTTTTCATTTTGCTTTGTAGTGTTTATGTATCAGGGACAATGCCTATTAATCAAATTGAAATGCGGCAGTGTTATCCAGGTCGCTAATTTTAAGCTATACTCCCTGAGGCCTGATGTAAGCCATTTTTTGATTAGGAGTTTCGGTAAGGAAACCGGTCATATATCATTGTTTTTTACCTTCATTGTTGGTAAACTCTCATTCTTGGTAAATAATTTTAGTAGTTTAGTACAGAATACTAATTTTAGGCCAGTCTGGATTAGCAGCACTGTCAAACTAATTGAGGAAATCTCCATCTCTGTCATATTGCTGTGTGCCTGTTCACAACAACACGAGAGCCTTCACACAATGAATGAAAGAGTGCAGCTCACTAAACAAAGCCCTCACTGAAGTGTGAATTCTGCACTCTTCCAGTTCCTCATGAGTACGTCATTCACTCAGTACCAGCGAGACGACTTGGCTGCTTACTGACTCATTTAGCAATTACTGCCTTATGTAATAGCAGTATAATCCTAACTGTGCTCTCAGGCTGAGAAAGTCTGTGATGTGGGGTCTAACGTTTTAAAGACTAAAAACAGGTAAAAGGGGAACGTTTATTGTACTAAGTTTAGAGGTGGCTCCTGGATTATGGAGACATTTTTTAGTTCTCAAATGTAGTTAGTTTGTATTTTTTAATTCACAAGAGATATATTTAAGGCCAAAGTGCAGCAGTTAACTAAGCTCATCTCTTAGGTTACACTGAGGCTTCATTTAGACAATGAGGAAAATCAAATATTTTTCGATTCAGATCTATGCTACATTTGTTTACCTCTGAATCACAGGCTAATAACTAAATCCACAGATGACTAAACTCAGTCATGGAAAAAAAAGCAAATCTGATCTAAGCACCACAGCGCACTGTCCAAACGTGGCCCGATTTTGTTTATGGAGGTTATGATCTGTTCTGGGAGAAGATATTTTTGTAATTCTCCAATGCCCACATCCACTCTGTAGTACTGGATCAGCGGATGGCTGTTTCCTCTTTGACGGCACTAACCCAACAGTCTGTGTACACAAACACTGTGCTTCAAAAGGTGGTTAAATGATGAGGTAATGGATGTGGATCCGGATATGAGGAGAACAAATCTTGTTTGTCTAAATGTAGCATTGATGTGGGGTTAAAGTAGTGTAGTACACACTGTACAGCAAGAGGAGGTATTGATACTATGTGTGTGTGTGTGTGTGTGTGTGTGTGTGTGTGTGTGTGAGAGAGGGAGAGAGAGAGAGAGAGATGTTATAGAGAACTGCTATCCTGGCATTGGACCGGCTCTTTGGCCATTTGTATTGATTTTTGATTAGGAATTTCAGTTCACTTCCATAATATATTTGTATTGATACAAATATAGTAAACTTATGCATAAATAAGTAACACTCATTTAATCTTGAAATCGGAGTCACATAATTGTCATTGAGGAACTACGGTTCTACTACAGTCTCACAGTCACCCTCATCATCATCAGTCACGTATGGGCAGCAGATGTGGGTATGAGCATGTATTGTGGGTATGAGCACTGAAAATACTCTAATGCTCATCTCTAATTTATCAGACTTTTTACAGGCTGCGTTTGGACAGACTGTCAAATCTGACATTGTCCCACACATCTGATGTGTGTTTTTTATTTTTTCCTGTGAAACATTTCTTTAGAGTCAAACGTTTCGCTCAAGCTTTTTGGTTCCAATTAGGTCCACATGCATTATTTGACACGCCATTTCAGGAAATGATCATGAGCTGATGGCAAGATGCAGTAAAGAAGAAAACAGTAAATCTAATTTTATCTGGACACAGTGGGTTTTGGTTTTCAAGTGTTTCCAATAATAATTCCTTCCCACAAGGATTAATAATATATCAAGGAGTGTAAGAAAGCTGACCTGAGATTTTCTCTTACAAATGTGGATATGTTTTATATGGATAGAAGAGCTGAACCCCAAACCAAAGCATTCTCATTCCGTGATTGTTAATGGATGGACGGAGAGAAAAGGTGAATAGTATCTCGTACACTCTGTGGCTCAGGTCTGCAGTGTGTCTTCGACAATTCAGGTCAGTTATTTTTTCATTTGTATAACACGTTATACAGCAGCCATTGTCCCAGTAGCCCCCTAATGAGCGTCGCCGAAACAGTATCAGAAAAAAAACTACCCAAGAACATGAGGAAGAAACCAAGACTCACGAGGGAAACTCAATAAGAGCATGAAGAAGAAACCCTGAGAGGAACCAAGACTCAGAAGGGGAATCCATCCTCCTCTGGGCCACACATGTTTTCTGTTTCAGTCTGAGAGGCTAGAAAGTGGAAGACTTTCAGTTCGTTAAAAAGCTTTGAGTTCATTCAAAAGAAGTTGAGATTTGAGTGCTTTCTGTCTTTAGTATTACATCAGACGTTTGGTTAGTTTCAGATAGATCAGTATACTGTAGAGAAGTACACTGTAGAGGATTTTGGAGTGTCCTTTAAGCATGGAAGAGTTGCTTTCTGCATGCTGTACTGTGCAGAAGTGTTTGTACCCAATTTGCATCATACAAAAAAGGTTTAAATTGGACAGAAGTATCTTATGGCATTGGCTCTAACATCATTTGGATTTTATGAATTGCTTTTGTTGTTAAGAAGTTATGCAAGCTTTTTGAGGCTAAATTGATTGTAAAAGCCTAATTGGGGACTGTACACTCATGTTCCAAAAGCAAGTTTTCTTGGATGAGAGTGTATTTGCACTCCATAAGAACATTGCTGGAGTCACAGTTATTTTCCCAAGAGGGAGACAGGTCTTCATTGGTCTCTGAAACAATAATATCTGGCTTTAGTTTGTGAATGTTGGTCTTCTTATCTTTCTGTTTGGTTTTCGTCTGTGCTGCCTTTAGCTCAGTAACCTGAGACCTTAACTGAGAATTGACGTTGCTGTTTAAACTCAGCAGGTTCACGGCGTGTAGCCACAGGCACTGAAATCATTGTGTTGATTTTCGGCATTGATCCAGACTAGCCTTCCGTGGTCAGATGCGTGTGTGTGTTTCAGAGATGAACATAAAGATTAGCCTGTGGTTAATGAGCTTATGGACCATTTGGTGAATCGAGTTTTGTGTTAATGAATAAATAGCTGTAGCTTATCAGAAGACATTATCTGTTTATTAATTGTTGTTTATGTATAATTTTTACATTTATTTTGTAAGGACGAGAAAGTTTAAGCTGTTTTCCATATTATCAAAACCGCTTATGTAGCTTTCTTGTTATGCAGTGATAGCAGTAACTGACAAACTGATGATAGGAATTGAGGAATGCATCAGTGCAATTTGCACATTATTGAAGCTCGGATGTTTTGTGGCATTTTGTTCCATCCTGCTCAGTTCCAGTTCATTCCAGTCTATTCCAGTCTGCTTCACTGGATAGTGATTGTGCATTCTTGGAGTGTGAAAAATAATCAATTCTTAGACGCACTGACGATTTTCTCCTGAAAGATTCACCATTGAAGCGCAAAACACTGTATCCCAATTTTCGAATGGGTTTGTACATAAAGTGTTTTTAATCGAATGCTGTAGGCTACATTTTATACTGTGTGATGTAAAGAACAAAAAGAGCAGTTAAGAATGGGTTTTAGTTTAAACTATTAGGTGGTTGAAGCATAATGACATACATGGTTTTATAAATGTATCTTGGCAGCCTCAATCAAAGTCAAATCGTGATTCCCACCCCTAATGCATTCTCTGTGAATTCACAATCCATCACAGCTCCAGGTTCCCATTATTCAGTAGCTACCGTACAAATTTTATATTACAGTAAGAGGGGAGGAGATAAAGCTGTTGATGGGCACCAACATAAAACAAAAGCCAGCAAAGCTTCTACAGCAAATAAAGCAAACCCAATCTCTATTGTTAACACAAATAGAGCCAACGAACATTCCCATGGTTACAGTCGCTGAGTGACAACATTCTTGCTAAGACACTGGCTAGTGTATCCTCATAAATATCTCGTCCCATTGAAAGCATGTTCTTGGAAAAGCACTGGCTGTCACCAAATGGCAATTACATGATAAGCACACAACATGTTGACAGAAGCTTTCATTCACTCAGAAGAACGTTAAAGCATTCGTTTAAACGGTTTGGCACAGACTTGCAGCTCAGTGTGAGACATTAAATTAATTTTGGTCCTGTACATGGCTCGTTCCCTCTTTTGCTCACCGGTAAAGCTGATTCCAGATCAGTTTGAAAAGATAACTTCAACCAGTACATTTTGCTGTAGTAATAAACCCTGTGCCCTCTGACCAAGAAATTTTATTGACAGCTAGAGATGCATTGATACTAATACTGGTATCGAGTATCGGCCCAGTACTGTGCTCATTTACTTGTACTCATTAAAATTTGTTGATACCAATTTCCGATACCCGTTGATACCATGTGATATAAGTAGAGCGTACACTGCCGCACTAATAAACATATGACTCAAGCTGGCAGTGAAGGAGGCTCTGCTCACACAGAGGAGCATTACTGACTTCGTGGCAGTCGGACACAAAGCCGTTGATCACTTTAAACATTCCGCCTTGGCAAATTCCTGCCAGGCATGCGCTGTGCGATTTTAGCCTATTTTTAAACACACACAAACACAATCACAGCTGCTTCCTCAATACGGGTTTAGACACGTAGGCTACCGAAACAGAGGCGAGAAAGTCGACATTTCCTATCAAAGTACGTCTATGCTGATGTTACTTTGTTTTCCTGAATAGAATTACAAGGTTTGAACGTTAATATGGTGATTGTTTTTGTAAAATAGGCTGAAGACCGAATGGTCCTACTGTGTCCATCTTCGCCTGGTCTAGCTTCAGTGCACAGTGTTAGCAGTGCTGTTCAGTTTTCAGTACTCGGTGCGCAGCATGTTATTTTGAACGCAACAGCTTTATTTATAAATGTTCGTGGACAGTGCTGTCTGTAGAGGCTGCGTTTCATGTAGCATTGACGAAGCAGTGTGACTATGTAAATCGTAGACTTTGTCCGTACATGATGACCTATTCAAACTTACAGCATGAGTCAACAAACAACATTTCTAAAATCACCCAGTGTGTGTCTGGCTTTGGAGGACATTCAGCTACAGCTCAACCAGCCAAAGAAAAGACTCAACAAGACGTAAAACTCCACAAGTGAGTTCCTTAGATGCGTTAGCCTCTGATGTGTTTCCTGCTATCACTGTGCTACGGAGGCTAATGTTGAAAGAGACAGATGAGGATCAAAACTATAAAACGTACTTTACTTACATCTGTTTTGCGTTTTTCTGATGTGAAACAAAATTCACTGTTCTTCTGCAACACTACTCGATCCAAGCTAACTAATGTTAGCTTGGCTAGCTAACGTGCACCATTTAAAATTAGCTAGATTTTAACGATTACATTTTTAAGATACATCGCACTCTTTTACAGTAATAACTACTTAGTTCTAAGTAGGTTACTCAGTATGGTATCAGACTCAGTATTGAGTAGTAAAAAATATGTAATCGTATTTGTGCTCTGTCTGAAAACAATAATATCTATGTATCTCTATTCAAAGCTTTATATTAGTTTTCCTAAAGGTTCCTGAAAGATTATATGATCTTTCCTGTTCAGCTGGGAGGAACAGGAACACCAGATACATTACTTCATTACTTTTTCTCTCTTTCTTCTCTTTCTTTCTGTCTTTCCTCTCTTTTTCTTTTTCTGTCTTTCTCACAGTTATTTTCACACCTCTCTTTCTTTCTCTCCCTCTCTTTCTCTCTACCTCTCTTTACTTGTTGTCTTTATCTCTGTATCTTTCTGTTGCTTTTCGCCCTCTCTCTTTTTTCTCTCTTTCTTTCTCTCCTCTTTCTCTCTGCCCCTATATCTTTCTCTTTTTCATCTCTTTGTCTCTCTGGCACTTTTTCTGCCTCTCTTTCTGCCTTCACTGTGACTCACTCTCTCTTTCATCTTTATCTCTCTTTTTTATCTCACAGCTCTCTTTTTCTCTATGTCTTTCTCTGACTTTTTCATCAGCTCTTTTCTCTCGTTATGTCCTGTTCTTTGTGCTTTTCTCTCTCACTCTTTTCTTGTTTTTTCTCTTCCTGTCACACGTTTCCTCTCTCTCTATCTCTCTCTCTCACTCTCAGCCCTTTGGCATCTTGTCCAGCTCACCTGTGGCCTCGCATGTTTCCATGACACGTTTTCTCTCTGAGCATGTGCAGTCACCCCCCCCCCCTTTTCCCATGTCCACAGCACTGTAAAGATGGACCTTGTGTTTTGTGACGTCGAGGGGAGACCTAGCAGAGTCCAGTTTATTTTTGTCAGGACACCCTCCTCCCTCTCTAATTCCTACTGTCCCCTCTCTTCCTATTCCCTCTCTTTCACTCTGTCCCTCCCTTCCCCAATTCTCTCTCCTTTTCTCTCCTGTCCGCTTCCCTATTTCTGTCCTTCTTGCCTACACTTTCTCCCTCTTACACTCTTTGTTTCTCATTTATCACTGTTGAGTCATCAAGAAGATACATTTTAATCGCTGCATTTTTTTTTTTGATAGCATGAATCTGAAGTCATAAAGCTCTCTTTCCATACCGTGACGTATTCTCTGAGCTGGCTGAGTGTGTTCTCTCCATGATAGCCAGGGGTGGTGGGAGGGGAAGTAAACTTGATACTGTTTTCTCTGCATGCTAGTGTACGGTGATGTAATCAGAAATCGTCATTTTAGAAGCAGACGAAAGTTATTACATTTTAATTTATGCAGCATTACATTGCATTACATTTTTATGGGAAAACAAGAATTTTGTCTTTGAATGATATAAAATGATGAATTGTTCTTAATCTGACCAGGGAAATTTACTAACAAGGGAAAAAAGGTCAGTATTGATTTCAGATTAACTTTAGTCAATAAATTGGGAGGGAGAGAGGGAATAAGGAAGTAAGACATACTTTTATAAACATTATTTTTCTTGAACCCTTGTTTTTGCTTACATTTTATTGTCATTACTGCTGCACTTTGTTTTATTTGCTTATGTTTTACATGTTTATTTTTATCCTTACTACATTTTTATTCTTATTAAATTTTAGAACTACTTTTATTACTCTTTA